CACCTGCTCACGGCGGGCACCGAGTCACTGTGCTTTACCCCTCAGCTGCCAGAGCTGCTCTGGCACGGGATTCTTCTCTGCCGCCCCTGAGGCAGTGAGAAGGTCCAGATGCCCCCTTGCAGACCATTCTGATGTGGTTGGATCCCGCCCTTCCTTGCTGCACAGCTGTGACCTCCTCCTAGTTCCGAATCATCTCAACAATCCTCAGGGAGACCCAGTACCCATTAGGTTCTTACTCTCCATCCCTCCCCCCAACCACTGCCCCGCAACTGCTAATCTGTAGATTTAGCACTCTGGAAATCTCATATAGTGGAAGCACTCAGCATGTAGCAAACTGGCTTTTACATTCGTCTGTGCTCTGACATTAACGATCAGAATTGCAGCCCTGTCATGACCACACAGCCTCCCATTATACGGACTGCCTCATTTTGCTAGCCCACTCGCTGGTTTAAATGGCCATCTCTGATTTGTGCCTACCCTTTGGCTATTGTGTGCCACTGTGAACTTGTACCAGGGTCTATTTGAATATCATTTTCAATTCCTTTGGGTGTTGTCATAGTTAGCTTCAGCTGTGACTCTGATACAGCCCCTGGGAAGAGGGAATTTCAACTAAGGAATTGCCTATGTCAGATTAGCCTGTGGTCATGTCGAGGTCTTTTCCTTTTTTTTTTTTTTTTTAAATCTGCCTCTCTTCCTTCCTTTTTTGAGACAGGGTTTCTCTGTGTAGTCCTGGAGCTTCTGTAGTCCAGGCTGGCCTTGAACTCATAAATTCACCTGTCTCTGCCTTCTGAGTGCTGGGATTAAAGGTGTATGCCTCCACTGCCCGGCTGAGGCATTTTCTTAATTGTTAATTGATGTAGGACCACCCAGCCCACTGTGGGCAGTGCTATTCCCTAGGCAGGTGGGCCTGAGCTATATAAAAAAAAAAAGTAGCCGAGCAAGCCAAAGGCATTCCCCCATTATTTTCTGCTTCAATCGCCTAGCTTGCCTTCCTTCTCGGATGGAAGATGAAATAAATGTTTTCCTCCCTAAGTTGCTTTTGGTCCTGGTGTTTATCACGGCAACAGAAAGCAAACTAGAACAGGTGTACTCCTGGGAGTTGAATTGGACGTTATGAGGTAGCTCTGTATTTATTTAACTGTGAGGGGTCACCATACCAACCCCCTCCATTGGCTGCACCATCTCACCCTTTTACTAGCAGATCCTGTGGATTCCAGTTTCTACGCATGCTTACTATACTGATTTGCTTTATTCAAAAGTGTTGTCGTTGGGCAGATGAAAGGGTTGGGCAGTTTAAGGCACTTGTGGCTCAGCCTAACAAGCTGAGTTCTATCCCCAGGGCCCACATGGGAGAGGACTGACCCCAAAAGTTGTCCTCTGACCTTCACACATGTGCCCCTCCAAAACAGAAAAATGGGACTTCAAAAACAAGAAATTTGCTTCAAATAATGTAGCCTTCCTACTGAATATGCAGTGTCTCAATCTATATTTCTTTTTAGAAGCATAAAATGGCTGTACATATTACATCTATAGCCACAAATGCAATTGATTGTTGTATTTTCACAGTATAGTGAGTTTTTTTAATTGAGAATTTCATATATGAATATGATATTTTTCTACCCCCTCGTTCCCTTCTCCAGATCCCCACCACTTTTCCCTCTAACTTCATGTACTCCCCTTTTAAAAGCTCACCGAGTACTCCGTGGGTGTAGGACCATCTTCTGGGGCATGGGACAACTCTCAGGGGCCTTATGTCTGAAGAAAATTGACCCCGCCTCACCCAGCAGCCTTCAGTTGCCACTAGCCTCTCACTTAGGCATGTGATATCACGAGCCCCTCCCTCACGCTGGGATTTTGGCTGGCTTCGTCTTGACCGCACAGGCCTTGTGGATGCAGTCGCAGCCACCGTGAACTCAGGTGCACAGTGACCCTGTCAGGTGCAGCAAATAACATTTCACTGCAGATGACCACTACTGCTGGCTCTTACATTCTGCTCCCTCTCCCAGGATTCGCTCTGATCCTTTGGGGATGGGGGGGTGATATAGACGTCCCACCTAGAGCTGTGTAGGGCTGAGCTTCCCACAGCCTCTTGTGGACCAGTTGTGGGTGTCTGGATTAGTCTCTGTCTTCTGCAAAAAGAGGCGTCTCTGATGAGGGATCAAAGATGCGCTAACCTTGATTCAAAACTGGTCCATGTCCTGGGCCTGCAGTTTCCACTGTAGCTGCTGGGAATCTGTATATTTTTAAGGAACTGCCACACGCCCCTGACTTTGTATCTCATGTTATCCTCTGAGAATCCCTTGAAGGAAGTAGAATTACCCCCTCCTTCCAGGTGAGAAAAGCAAGTCTCAGATAATGGCACCTACAAGGTCACACAGCTGTTGTCTGACCAAACCAGGGTTCCCAACTGCTGTCAGATTGCAAGCCAGGACCCATTCCATTGCCCCCCCTCCCAGGCTCTTATGCTATCATTATTTTTAGTAGACTTATTTCATTCTCTGTGTGTTTACCTACATGTGTGTATGTATGTATACATTCATACCTGCAGCACAGAGAGGTCAGAAGGGGACAGCAGATCCCCTAGACCTGGAGTCACAGATGGCTGTGAACCAACATGTCAGTGCTGGGAACCAATCCCAGGTCCCTTGCAAGAGCTCCTAAACACAGGGGCGTCTCTCCAGCCCCACCCCTTTTTTAGGTGCTAGGGTTTGAGCCCAGGGCCCTGTAGAAGCTGGCCGAGCGTGAGCCACTGAGCTGCATCCTGGCCCCCTCTCATCTCTGGCAAAGCTCCATGTGCTTTCTCACTACTCGAAGAACACGCATCTTTTCTTCCTCTAACATTCCTTTCCTTGTTAAAATAGAATCCTTCTTTGTGCCCCTGTGGCTGTCTGCCAGATCCTTGGCTCTCTCTGTCCCCTGCCCTGTCTCCCTTCTTGGGTCTTGGTGGTGGCTCATCCCTTAGAACCCTTGCATTATGGAGGTGTGAGAGAAATGGGTGTGCGCGCGTTGTGATTTCGTTCCCAGCAAACAAACGTCCAGCCCCATTCCTAGGCACTGCGCTGTGTGGCATCCACTCTGACTTTTCTGTGTAAACCACACGGATGCTACATGGTTAGGGAAACGACTGTACCTCCCAGGAGGAACTGGCAGGCAGGCAATGTGCTTTCTCTCCCCCTAAGAAAGGCACTGCAGCCTTCCCAGCATTCCACATCCATTGCCGCCTGTACCGCCCACTGGCACCATTCACAAAGAGTGAATAGCAGCATGCAGACTCCGAACACATTGCCATCAATGCCCATCACCTGCATAGTCTTTGCCCCAGGAGGAGATGAAGGAGGTTGGATATCTGTGCTAAGGCCAGGTTCTTTGAGAGTAAAGGCAGCCCACGGGTTATATAGAAAACTTACTTTGTCTGATGCCATCGATACTGAGTAAATATGCTTTGATAACCTCCCATATTTAGCCCAGCTTGATTGTAGGCATCCCCCGCCCCTCCAGGAGAACAATCTGTCTAGATTCAGATCTGGCAGTTATCATGTGCCTGGGAGACACCATCCATGAAACCTTCCCATGGAACTTGAACCAACAGGTATGGTTACACCCATTGTACAGGCAAAGACACAGAGGCTCAGGAAAACCAGTGGGACCACAGCAGAGAGTGACAGGTGGGGGGGGGGATCAAGTCCATGAAAACGAGACAGACCTCGGGATGGATTGCTTTGGGGGGGCGCATGGCTTGGATTTGAAAGGCCCACGTCTGAGCAGGAGAGTCCTGAGGCACAGGCACCTGCTGGGAGGGTGAAGGGCATAGAGAGACACCCAAGGTCAGGAGATTGTCCTCTTAGCATCCTTAGGGGATCCATGGCTTGAGAGAGCCTAAAAGGAGCCCCTCCCCGCCTCCTGAGTTCCCCAGCTAAAGTTCTCCTCTAACTTCTGCCTGTAGTTAGCTCTGGCTCTTTCTGGTTCCAACTAGGCTGCTTTCTTTTGTTTAATCCCTTCCACAACGTGGTGGTGTTCACCTCACCCCTGCCCCCCCCCCCCCCCGTGATCTGATCCAGCTTGCTCCTGTTGTGTGGTGATAAGGTACAGGACTCAGCTGCCTGGGGTTAGTGGGCTCCCAGTCTGCCCACACATCTATCTCGAATTCAGCATCTTCTCAGCCCTTTCTTTCCGACCCCCCACCCCACCCCTGCCGAATCCTTTCTCAGACCTCTCCCCTGTCTCTCTGAGTTTGTTTCCACACTGATGCACTCCACCTGTGTGGTGGAGAGAGGAAAGCCTCTTGCCTCCCTTTCTCCAGAGTCTCCCCCTTCCCAACTCTTCCAGACCCCTGGCCTTTCTGCCTCTGAGTTACCTCTGGGCCTTTAGACTTTAAGGACCTGCCCAGCAGGGTGGGTGGGTGTACTCTCTTCCCACAGTTCTGGGTGAGTGAGTGGGAGAGGTTGAGTGTTCCCACCATCGTGAACCAGAGGCTGCTGCTGATGCCCTCAGAGGGCAGGAAGGTAACAGAAGGGTGTCAACAGGGCCAGTGACCCGTGCTGCTGTGTTAGTGAAGACGGGGGGGTGGGGGGGTACGAGGCTGGACGGCTCAGGCCTGCATGTAGGCTTTCACAACTGCGAAGGAGAGGGTTGCTCAAGGCAGGAGCCTAATTAGGAGACTGAACCCAGGGAGAATGCTGAGCTCATCTCTGGCCTCAAGGCCAGAGGCTCTGCCTTTTCATAGCTGTGTGTCCCCAAGTTATTCACTAGAACACCCAGTTCCAAAGGCAACGTAGATCTGCCTAGACTTCGTTTCAGAGAAAATGCTCTCTATAAGGGTCATGCTGGTGTGCAGCTGTTGGAGCTGGCTGTAGAAACTTAGACTCTTCTCCTGAACTATTCCTTCATGCCACATCCATTGTCCAGGTCCCCCAAAGGTGTCCTGGGCTGCACAGACAACCCTGCTGGCTGAGCCCCCTCCCATGTCACATGATTTATTTGTGCTTGCCTCCTCCCCTCAGGGTGACAAGGGAGATCTTGCGGCCCTGAGCCTCCCCTCTGGCCCTGGCCACGGTGACACTGATGGCCCCATCAGCCTGGACGTGCCAGATGGAGCCCCCGACCCCCAGCGGACTAAAGCTGCCATTGACCACCTGCACCAGAAGATCCTGAAGATCACTGAGCAGATCAAGATCGAGCAGGAGGCGCGGGACGACAACGTGGCAGAGTACCTGAAGCTGGCCAACAATGCAGACAAGCAGCAGGTGTCGCGCATCAAGCAGGTGTTCGAGAAGAAGAATCAGAAGTCAGCACAGACCATCGCCCAGCTGCACAAGAAGCTGGAACACTACCGCCGGCGCCTGAAGGAGATAGAGCAGAATGGGCCCTCACGGCAGCCCAAGGACGTGCTGCGCGATATGCAGCAAGGGCTGAAGGATGTGGGCGCCAACGTGCGTGCCGGCATCAGTGGCTTCGGGGGTGGCGTGGTGGAGGGCGTCAAGGGCAGTCTCTCTGGCCTCTCGCAAGCAACCCACACTGCGGTGGTGTCCAAGCCCCGGGAGTTCGCCAGCCTCATTCGCAACAAGTTCGGCAGTGCGGACAACATCGCCCACCTGAAGGACCCTATGGAAGATGGGCCCCCTGAAGAGGCAGCCCGGGCGCTGAGTGGCAGCGCCACGTTAGTGTCCAGCCCCAAGTATGGCAGTGACGATGAATGTTCCAGTGCCAGCGCCAGCTCGGCTGGGGCAGGCAGTAACTCTGGGGCTGGGCCAGGAGGCGCACTGGGGAGCCCTAGGTCCAACACTCTTTACGGTGCCCCTGGAAATCTGGACACTCTGCTGGAGGAGCTGCGCGACATAAAGGAGGGCCAGTCACACCTGGAGGACTCCATGGAGGACTTGAAGACTCAGCTGCAGAGAGACTACACCTACATGACCCAGTGCCTGCAGGAAGAGCGCTACAGGTGGGTTCCCCTTGGTGGCTTCACAGCTGTGGCTGGGCCCAGTGGGAAGTAAGCAAGCCGCTCTGAGCTTTGGAGGCCACGGGAGAAGCAGCCAGAAGGGTCCTGCCATGCCAGGAGGAGCCCCTGAGGAGCTTTCTCCTGGCAGGAAGAGGGGCCACCTGACCTCCAGAAAGACCTCTGCAGGTCTTAGGATGATGCAATAGGTCAGTGGTTCTCAACCTTCCTAATGCTGCAACCCCTTAATACAGTTCCCCATGTTGTGACCTCCAACCATAAGATTATTTCCATTGCCACTTCGTAACGGTAATTTTTCTACTGTTGTGACTTGTAATGTAAATATCTAATATGCAGGATATCTGATATGTTACATGTGTGAGAGGTTCATTCAACCCGCAGGTTGAGAAGTCCTGCTTTACGGTTTTATGTTCTTAATTCACAAAGGGGAGACTAAGACAAGGGCCAGCACCATGTGTGCTCTTCTGGAGACTCTGGTTCAAAAGCACTTTGGAGGCAGCTACAGGAGTTCAAATCCCAGATCTCCCTTTTAGCACCTTAAGCAAGCAGCTGACAGTCTCTGCCCAGTTCCCTGTCTGTGAAGAAGGGTAACCCCGACATGACTTTATGGAGTGGTTATAAAGGGCGAGTGAGTCAGCTAGGTGTGATGGTGCACTCGGGAGGCAGAGGCAGTCAGACCTTTGTGAGTTGAGGCCAGCCTGGGCTACATTCTAATAGCATTAAAAAAAAAAAAAAAAAAAAAAAAAAGATGGAGTTGGGATGTAGATGGACAGCTGGGATACCTAGAGAGCTCCTGAGGTCCTTCTCTGCCTCCCTCTCTGGGATTCAGATCTTTTCCTTAGCACTTCTTTCTAGATAATGACTTGTAAAACTGAGGGGGAACCCCACCTAAAACTAACCACCCTAGGTTTATAGTCATCTTTTGATACTTGGTGCTTTTGAAAGCAAGAACCACATCTTTGTCTACCTCAGGGTCTCTGCTACCCAGGGAGCATCTTAGCCAGGTTTTAGAGCCGGGTTAAAGTCACTCAATCCTTAACTCCACTGTCGTAAGCCATGAAATCCCAGATAGCCTTAGCCTCTGTCTTGTTCTCCCTACCTGTCCATACAGATGAGGCTGTGTGAGGATCCTATGAGACAGTGCCAGTCCACGCTCGGCACAAGGGCTAGCACACAGGAGACTGATGCTGTCGCTAGGGTAACATGAGAGCAGGACCGAACGCATGGGTGGGCTGCGTGTCACTACTTTGTAAGAAGCTGTGTCACCTCCTCTTTTCCTACCAGATATGAGAGGCTGGAGGAACAGCTGAATGACCTCACTGAGCTCCACCAGAACGAGATGACCAACCTCAAGCAGGAGCTAGCCAGCATGGAGGAAAAGGTGGCCTACCAATCCTACGAGAGGGCCCGCGATATCCAGGTATGGCCCAGGGCCTGACGTGTGGGTAGAGCCACAGGCACGGAGTGCATTGGGGTGAACATATCACATACGGCAGATAGGTACAGGATGCATGGTAGAGATAAGAACGAGGTAAGTCCTTGGCCAAGTGCAAAGGCACTATGGTGGCAGATTTACAAATGAATAATTGGTATTTCCGGGCGTTCGCCTGTCTCTTTATGGATCTGGGATCTATATGCAAGACTTCCTCCTCAGACAGTCGTCAGTCAAGAGTTTTGAGTTGCAGCTGATCAACCTGTACCCTTCTTGGCCTTGAAGAGGGGGCCCTACATAACCACCTCCTTGGTACGGTGGCATATTGGTCTGTTCTTTGCTGTAGCAAGTTGTGTGAGGTTGGATAATTTGTAAAGCGAAAAGATCACCCACCTCTCACTTCTAGAGACCCAAGAGGATGTCACCCTGTCCTTGGAGGTGGTAAGGACCTCACTGATAGTCTCCCAAAGGCAGGGACTGTGTAGGGGAGCCATATAGCGAAACAGAAAGCCAGAGAGATTTGGGGGTCAGACTGTCTCTCACAGCATCTAATTCTTTTGTTAGATGCATGCATGTCTCTGTGTGTGTGTGTGTGTGTGTGTGTGTGTGTATACACTTCACGTGCGCATGCGCACACACACTTTAAAGGTTCTGCTACCGTAACCCTGCCAATGCTAGAAACCAAGCTTCCGGCCCACAGACCCTTGACCCCATTGGAATGAGAACAGGTAGGATGGGTTCAGTCTGGGATCTCACCCACACTGAGCTCCCATATACCACCCCCTGTGCCCTGCAGGAGGCTGTGGAGTCCTGCCTGACCCGTGTCACCAAGCTGGAGCTGCAGCAGCAGCAGCAGCAAGTCGTGCAGTTGGAAGGCGTGGAGAATGCCAATGCGAGGGCTCTGCTGGGCAAGTTCATCAACGTGATCCTGGCGCTCATGGCCGTGCTGCTGGTGTTTGTGTCCACCATCGCCAACTTCATCACGCCCCTCATGAAGACACGCCTCCGTATCACCAGCACCGCCCTCCTGCTCCTCATCCTCTTCCTCCTCTGGAAGCACTGGGACTCGCTCACCTACCTCCTGGAGCATGTGCTGCTGCCCAGCTGAGAAGCTGCCATCCGTCCCCGTCATGCCCCCCCCCCCCCACGCTCTCTGGTTTCCTCCGCCACGCATCTCCGGGAGGGCCGGGGACTCTCTTGAATCTTGTCTTGCCCAAACTGCCCATCGGGCGGCTCCTGCCCGTTCTCTGTACCGCTGTTTGGCACCACCTCTCCTGGCCTGAAGGTTGCTGAGAAGGGGGTCCGGGCTGGAGGGAGTCGAAACACTCATGACCAAACGGAACGGGGGACTTTTCTGGGCTGACCGGCCGATGTCCTAGGTCATGAAGGCCACTAAGATGGAAGGCCAGTCTCAGTTTCCCTACGGAAGAGCCCATCCTAGGGTGGCCTGGATATGGCCGGTGTGCAGGAAGGGGAGGGTCCCGGCCTTGGGGCTACAGAGCAGGCCAGAGGCAGCTCAGCCTACCCTTCCCCTGCCCTCTCCCCACCGAGCTGATTTGAGACTGGTTTCTGGAGGATAGGTGAGGCGTGGCTCTGGATTTGTGTTTTCTCTGCTCATCTTTCTGCCAATCACTGGGTGTGCTGCTCTCTGCAAAACAGGCCCCAAGGGCCTGAGCCTCTGCCTCTAGCCCACACCCTTAGGCCTCTGGGATCCAAGTTGAGTTCTATTTATTTATTTATTTGCTTACTTATTTATTTGTTCTTATCTTTCCCTTGCTTCTGCCCAGCTGGGCTCCAGGGAGAGGACCTGCCCATCCTCCCTCTGAAGCCAGGGATTATTTATTCTTGGCTCATCACATCACACTCCAGACCATGCATCCTGCGGTGTTTCTGGCTGGAAAAAGGAGTATGTGGCCACCCAGCCCGCTCTCCCAAGCAGCCACACCAGATGGGCAGGAGGATCATGGTCCTTTTCTATCTATTTATTTTATATGTGTGTCTTTGTGGGGAAGAGGGTGTTTGGTGATTTATTTCTTTAAGGCTCTGGATTACTGTGTACAGTTTGCACAGCCCAGCCTCCCCATGGGCCCCTCCAAGCACATTGGGGATTTCTCAGAACAGGAGAGAGGAATCCACGAAGCAGGAGAAACTCTGCCTGCCGGCTGTGGTGGACCTCCCTGAGAAATAAATATCCTCTACGTTTCCAAACCATCCTGTCTGGTGTTGGCTGATTAAGCTGTCTCTGTGAAAAATCACAGGATCTCTTCCCCACACTCTAGCATTCTGGGTAGCACAGGCTGGGCCTCATCTGTTGGCCTGAATTGTCTTCTTTCAGGAGGCAGCATTGAATGAGGCATATCCACCCTCCAGCCTTGTTCTGAGCAACTTAAATGATATGACTACCATCCCATCCAGCCACAGTTTTGCTGGAGCACTTCCCAGGAGCTATGTGGAGAGACTCCCATAGCTGTTATGACAAGTTGTGGCCACAAGAGGGCACCAGAGTCTGTACTCCAAAACCTCTTTCAAGATGCAGTTCCAAACCAGTATCCCTTGGGATTGGCTTGACTTTGTCATTGTGGTCTGGCTGGAGTCAGGGAGTACCTGCTTTCTAGGAGCTGTGGTGTGATCCTCTCCATGAAGGGCCAGGACTTGGTATCTGCCCCGTGGTTGGAGCGCCCAGCCCTCAAAGCCCCATAGCTCTTCCGGGAAGGAACTTAGTGGGTACTTACAATAGGCCCTTTGAAAGGAGGAGGCAACTAGGACTGACTGATTTAAAAGAACAAAAACAAACCAACCAAAACAGAGCCCGAGAGCCTTGGGTCTCAGCCCATAACTAGGGTGCTGCAACCAACCTCCACCTGTTCTGGGCCTCAGTTTCCACATCAGTAATAGGACGAATATGGTCACTGTCCATGTCAAGGACCATGGTGTTCTGTGGCTCTGTCAAAAGCCAGAATTACAGCTGTGTCTGTGGCCTCGGGCTCCAGGGGGTCCAAGCCTGGAGAGGACACAAGGAGGGTGACATTGACAATCTGACTCTGCCCTCTGTTTTGTAGGAGTTTTGCCAGACTGCCTTCCAACTATTCCATTCCTGGACCCTGCACTCCCTTTCTCTTCCAGCTGTGTGTGTGTGTGTGTGTGTGTGTGTGTGTGTGTGTGTGTGTGTGTGTGTAGCTCTCTTGGGGGCCACTGGTGGCTCAGAGCCCACATTCCTGGGCCACAGGTAGGGGGCGGCTGCCCCTGGCTCCAGACATTTCCTACATTCCTCCCAAGGTCAGATGCCTTCTCAGAACTGGCTCTTAATGTCACTTGCCAGCTGCAGCCCACAGCGAAAGGGATGAGGAGGGCAGGCCATTCTTGGCCAGTTCTGAGGCCGCAAAGCAAACAGCCCCGAGGGAAGTGGCCAGCCCCCAGCTACATCTTTGTAGAAGCCAACTCTGGCTTGTTTTCCTCCTCGGGAAGACAATGGTGCAGCTAGTAAAACCCTGCCATACTGGAGCTGGAGGCGTCCATGTTTGTGTCTGTCTGTGCTCCCTCTGTAGAAAATGAGGGTGAGTTGCCCCCACCTCCTGCTCTTCCCCTGAGGTCCAGAGAGTGAGACATTGAGTCAGGGTTACCACTTGAAGTCTGCTTTCTTCACGGACTACAAGACCTAAAGGCAGGGCCTTCCCAGGGCATCTGTCCCACAACTGTTAGTCCCCACCCCCAGGGTGCTACAGATCAGACTGGCGGACTCCCACGGCCTGGGTCCCGTAGGGAGGGGACAGATGAGAAGACTCGGTGCCTCCTGGCTCCTTGGCAGGCAGCTGACCCAGAGCAAGGGTGCTTTGTAACCTGCAGAGCCAGCCCACAGGCATCCTTGTGGGTCACGAAGCAAACGGGAAAGGCAGCAGACCACACGAAGCTGTCTGTGCAGAGAGGGAAGGGAGGAAACATGGCGGCCATAGCAGAGAGCAAGCAGAGCTACAGCCAGATCTATAGAGCAGGCTAGCCCCCTCTGCCGTAGTAGCGGGCCATGGAGCAAATCTCAGATCTGGCCTCAAACCCAGCACGGCCACTTGCCTTAGACCTGTTCCAGCTGCCCTCACACCAGCTCCCGGCAATAAGAACGGACTCTGCAGCTGGACAACACCTTTAATCCCAGCATTTGGGAGGCAGAGGCGGGTGGGTCTCTGTGAGTTCAAGACCAGCCTGATCTAAGAATCCAGGATAGCTAGAGTTGTTACAGAGAGAAACCTTGTCTCAAAAAAAACCAAACCAACCAGAATGGAGTGTCTGATGCACAAGTCTGGCGACAGGAGACATGCATGACATTGCGTGTCTAAACGTAATGGCACAGTACCTGGAACCGAGTGAAAAAATCCAAAGAGTGACTACTGCACTTCAACACTGACACTGGGTGGCAAGGTCCAGAAGTGCTTGGAGAAGCTGAGGCAGGCTCTGTGGAGACACGAAGGGGTTGGAGGCCACGCCTCTGGCCTGAAGACCCAGAAGAGGCCCTGATCCTTTTCCTCCACTAAGAGCCCGTTTATTTGCCCAAGTTTCTCTCTCCGTCTCATCAACAAAGCGGGCGCAGTCCCAAGGGCTCAGCTGGGCAGAGGCTGAGAGAAAGCCCAGCCTGTCCTGGGCCACCATCAGAGCTTTACAAATGTACCAGTGTGGGGCTCTCCCTCCTCTAACACGCGGGGTGTCTAGGAAAGAGGGTGAGGATTGATGTCAAGACGCCTGGGTATGAGCTAAAACGGTCAGGCCATACGCCTGGTTTGGAAGCGATGCCTGCACTGCCTACTTAGTAGGATTTGGCAGGGCACAAAGACAATGCCAAGAGTTCCCCAGAGCCCTCAAATGACCCCTAGGGAGCTATTTCCAGGAGGCTTCCCCGGCCATCCGGGACTCCACCGGGTACTCTGATCTACCACCAGGGCTGGGCAGGGCTTAAGAAGTAGCCGGAGCACAGTGGCTCGAGGCTTACAGAAAACCTGCAGATGTACTTAGGAGGACGTGGCGGGCTCTGCCAAGGCCTGCTGGGATGGTGTCAAGGAAGGAAAGGAGGCTGGGGCTTGCCACAGCATATCCAGGCGTGTTGGTAAGTCCTGAGTCACCCGAGCAGCCAGAAGGGCAGTCTGGGTGGGGACAGCAGCTCTGCCTCTTAGACACAGAGCCTCCAGGGGAATGCTCCCATGCTGGCAGCCCAGCCCTGACACAGTTCCTTGGGCAACAGCCCGGATGAAGCATCCTAGACCCAGCACTGCTGAACAGGCCATCTCTGTCATACGGCTGCCTCCAGGAAGGACTCAGCAAGTTGACTCTGTCTCCAAAAGTCCTCCATATGTCCTCCAAGGCCATTCCCTAGTTGGCATCTGGGGGACCAGGCTCTGCACCTTGCTGGGCTCCACATCTATCTAAAGCTTCTTGGCTGTCTCTTTCCTTGTCCTTGTAGGAATTTCAGCTCACTGTCTCAAAGCCAAAAGTCAGGAAGTACCATGGTGAGAGATGTAGGCCCTGGCTGGGCTACAGGAAGGCTAAGTCCTCCCATCACCGCCTGAGCTGAGAAGCCACTAGCTTATGTCTGGAAAGGTCTTGAGCTGTCATCAGGGGTGGCCCTCTGACATGGTAGCCCTAGGCACCCAACCCTAGGTGGAGACAGGTAGAGAAAGGTTAGCTTCCCTTGGAATGGGTCACTAATTCAATTCATCCCAGAAACAAGTCACCAGCACAGACCAACTGCCACCAGCCAGCTTGGCCCCATCATCTCCCCTCACCTGTGCCGTCTTGAGGAACTCAGCTGAAGAGGAGTTCTAATCTCTTTCAGAGAACACAGGTTCGGTCCCCAGTGCCCATGTGGCAGCCAGCCCACTGCTGTCTGTAACTCCAGTTCCAGCGGATCTGATGCCCTCTTCTGGCCTTCACACAAGCACATACACAACATCACATACATGTGTACGAGATCGCCCCCATTCAAACACACACACATCACTTCTCTGGGATTCTAAGTTCCCATCTTGATTGGAGAACTTGAGAGGGGGAGACTAACACAGCTAACGAGTTACCAGGCCCTGGAGGCTCAGACAAGATAGTCTAAGACGCTGTGTGAAGCCTTGCTGTGCCCGCACGGCCAGAGTACAGCGGAGGGTGTGGGGATTGAAACACTGAAGTGAAGAGGAAGCTGCTGCCCTTCATTACAGAGAGTGATGGGCTTATCTACCCAAGCCAGCGGATGGGTAAGCATAGGAGGAATCATGCACCGCCCACACCTGGGGTCAAGGCACGGGCCCTGCACACCGGAAAGTTGTGAGAACAACCTTGTCTGATCAGCCTTGAGAGCGCGGGAGTTCCACAGCTGGGTGGGGAGGGAGAGAGCTCCATGACCAGGGCCCTGACCATTTGTGGTGCTGGGGAAGGCTGGGCCTGTCAGGCTGGTCCTCACTGCTGGGTTGCCCAGCTGGGAGGTTGGAGAGGCTGGGTGTGACCTCACTGTCCCTTTTTTATCACGTCCTCCCCATCGTCCCAATGACGGCAGTTCCTGACGGGAATGAGGGGCTACCTCAAAGTAGTTTTAATTCGCCTCTTCCTGACAATAAGAGATGTTGAGTGCTTTTAAAAATGGTCATTGGCCTTTTGTGTTTCTTCTTTTGAAAACTGTCCCTTTCGTTGGCCTATTTGTTGATGGGCAATTTAACTTCCTCGGTATTTCATTTCTGTAGCTCTTTGTCCATTCTAAATGTTAGCCCCTGTCTGAAATGTAGTTGATAAAGACTGTTTCCCTCTCTGTGTGTACTACTTGTTTGTTCCGCTGACAGTTTTTTTTTAATAATAATAATAATAATTTAGAAACATTTTTTAAAAAGATTTAGTTTTATCTCATGAGTGTTTTTGCCTGTACAAGTGTGTACATGTATGACCCATGTGCACTGCCTGAGGAGGCCAGAAGAGGGCATCAGAGCCCCCGGGGACAGGTATTATAAGTGGTTGTGAGCTACCATCTGAGTGCTAGGAACTGAACCTGGGTCCTATGTAAGAGCAGCAAGCAAGTGCTCTCAACACATGAGCCATCTCTCCGGCTCCAAAACAAAAGGGACATATTTGAAGAGGCAGGAGGGAGGTGAAGACAGACTTGTACCAGTTTCAGTAACTTACTGTTTCTCCCCAAGGTTGGACCCTTTAGCCACTAAGCCACTAGACCTCCTACGCCAGAGGTCAAAGCTAAG